CCCAGTACTGTTAAAATGTTATTTCTCGGCCGGGCGCTGTGGCTCACGCCTGTAATCCTAGCTCTTGGGAGGCCGAGGCGGGCGGATTGCTCAAGGTCAGGAGTTCAAAACCAGCCTGAGCAAGAGCGAGACCCCGTCTCTACTATAAAATAGAAAGAAATTAATTGGCCAACTGATATATATATAAAAAATTAGCCAGGCATGGTGGCGCATGCCTGTAGTCCCAGCTACTGAGGAGGCTGAGGCAGGAGGATTGCTTGAGCCCAGGAGTTTGAGGTTGCTGTGAGCTAGGCTGACGCCACGGCACTCACTCTAGCCTGGACAACAAAGTGAGACTCTGTCTCAAAAAAAAAAAAAAAAAAAAAATGTTATTTCTCCCCAAATTGATCTACAAGGTAATTCCGATCAAAATCCAAAAAGTTTTTTTCATAGAAATTGACGGGCTGATTCTAAAATTCATATGGGCTGGGCACAGTGGCTCACACCTGTAATCCTAGCACTCTGGGAGGCCGAAATGGGAGGATCGTTTGAGCTCAAGAGTCTGAGACCAGCCGGAGCAAGAGCGAGATCCTGTCTCTATTAAAAATAGAAAGAACTTAGCTAGACAACTAAAAATATACAGCCAGGCATGGTAGCACATGCTTGTAGCCCCAGCTACTCAGGAGGCTAAGGCAGTAGGATTGCATGAGCCCAGGAGTTGGACGTTGCTGTGAGCTAGGCTGATGCCATAGCACTCTACCCGGGCAACAGAGTGATACTCTGTCTGGGGGAAAAAAAAACACCAAAAAACTAAAATTCATATGGAAATGCAAAAGATGTGAAATACCCAAATCAATTCTTGAAAAACAGAACAAAGTTGGAGAGCTAACACTTAAAGCTATAGTAATCAAAATTATGTAGTACTGGCATGAAAACAAGCAAATCGATGGAATGGAATAAAGTCCACTCGTATGTAGATAATTTTTTAAAAGATGCAATGGCAGTTCAGTGGAGAAAGGACAGTCGTTTCAACAAATGGTGCTGGAACAACTGGATAGTCATACATCCAAACCAAAAACACCTTGGATCCACATTTCATGTACAAAAATATTCAAAATGGACCACAGACCTAGACATCTAACCCAAGACAATGAAGTTTCTGAAAGAAAACACAGGAGAAAAATCTTTGTGGTTTTGGGTTAGGTAAAGGTTTCTTAAATATGACATCAAAAGAGCAAATTGGTAAATTAGACTTCATAAAATTAAAACATTTTCTTTTTCAAAAAAACACTTTTAAGAAAATTTTTAAAAATCGAGACTTGAGTAATATCTTTGCAAAGTATACATGTGACAAAGGACTTTACTGATACATAATATAAATATACATATAAATATACATAAATATACATATCTTGTGTATCTTAAGATATATATGTTATATAAAGAACTCTGGAAATCCAACAAGAAAATCAACAAGTCAATAAAATGATAGGCAAAAGATCTGAACAGACACCTCAACAAACAAGATGTATGGATGATAATTTTCAAGAAATGATGCTCAACATCAGGCATCCTCAAACTACCTCCCGCGGGCCACATGCAGCCCGCCGAGGACATTTATCCAGCCCACCAGGTGTTTTTGCCTCCGCTGCCTATCTTGCTTAGCAGCCAGATCATCACGGACCCACAGTGCGCATGTGTGGAACGTGCGCCGCACTCTCCAAAGGCCCTCCAACGGTCTGAGGGACAGTGAACTGGTCCCCTTTAAAAAGTTTGAGGACTCCTGCTCAACATTATCAGTTATTAGGTAGATACTCTTATAAGAACAGCTAAAATAATAAAAAGACTACACCATGTCCTGACAAGGATGTGGAAGAGAAACTAGTAGTGTTATTGGTAGGAACATAAAAATGGTACAATTACTTCAGAAAACTATTGCAGTTACTTTAAAAGTTAATCATATACCTACAATTTGACTGAGCCATTCCATCTTAGGTGGATCCAAGAGAAAAAGAAATATATATCCCTGTAAAGATCTGTACATCAACATTTATCTGTAACAGCTTTATCTGTAACAACCCAAAACTGAATTTTTGGGTTTAGGGTCAACCCAAAGACCATAAACAGGCGGGGCATGGTGGCTCACAGCCACCATGCTGTAATCCCAGCACTCTGGGAGACCGAGGCGGGAGGATTGTTTGAGCTCAGGAATTCAAGACCAGCCTGAGCAAGAGCGAGACTCCTGTCTCTACTAAAAATAGAAAGAAATTAATTGGCCAAGTAATAATATATAGAAAAAATTAGCCGAGCATGGTGGTGCATGCCTGTAGTCCCAGCTACTCGGGATGCTGAGACAGAAGGATTGCTTAAGTCCAAGAGTATGAGGTTGCTGTGAGCTAGGCTGATGCCATGGCACTCTAGCCTGGGCAACAGAGAGAGACTGTGTCACAAAAAAAAAAAAAAGAAAGAAAAAAGAAAAAGACCATCAACAGTTGAATGAATAAACAAACTGTGGTATATACATACAATGGAATACTACTCAGTAACAAAAGGGAAAGAAAAATTCATACACACAGCAACATGAATAAATCTCAAAATAATTTTGCTGAGTGAAAGAAGTTAGATGTAAAATGAGTACATAGCATAATTCTTTATATAAAACCCTAGAAAATGCAAATTTATCTATAATGACAGAAAGCAGATCAACAGTTGCATGAAGAAGGAAGAGTTGAAGAAAACAGTACAAAAGGGCACAAGAAGATTTTTGGGACATATATATGTTCACTATCTTCACTGTGGTGAAGGTTTCACAGATATACACATTCATCAAAACTTATCAAATTGTGAACTTTAAATACATGCAGTTGGCCAGGTGTGTGGCTCATGCCTGCAATCCTAGCATTTTGGGAGACCAAGGAGGGAGGATGTCTTGAGGCCAGGAATTCAAAACCAGCCTATACAACATAGCCAAGATTGTGTCTCTACAAAAAAAAAAAAAAAAAAAAAAAATTGTTTTTCATTTGCCCAGCATGGTGGTGCACATCCAGAGTCCCAGCTACTCGGGAGGCTGAGGCTGGAAGATCACTTGAGCCCAGCAGTTTGAAGCTGCAGTGAACTGTACCCACCACTATACTACACTCCAGCCTGGGGGACAAAGCAAAACCATGACATACATACATACATACATAAAAAAAAAATGCAGTTTATTTTATGTTAATTATTCCTCAATAAAGCTATTTAAGAAAAACATAACATATAAATCCTCAATCCTCAACCCCTACTCCACCCACAGCTTGTCTAAAATTGCCCCATCACTCCAACAGAAGGCTGCAAGTTTATTTTCTAGAGAGGACAAAACAAAATCTCTCAACTAGGAAAACAATATGTACAATTAAGAAAGGGAGTACTGATGAAAATACAAGAAGATTTAGTAAATATTTGTGTATTAAATCCTACCAGCCAAACTGTAAAGTGTATAAATAAAATTAGTTTCAGACATGCAATAAAGAAAAATTTATTCTGATTACCCTTTCTGGAAACCTGCTGAGGGAAGTGTGATATCAAAACAAATAAGTAACCCAAAAGAGTAAAAGCAATCAGGTAACATGAAATTCAACCCAGGGAAGAAGTGAAGGGAATCTCCAGGACGATTAAGAAAACAATTTCAGGCTGAGCGCGGGGGCTCACATCTGTAATCCTAGCACTCTGGGAGGCCTAGGTGGGTGGACTGCTCGAGGTCAGGAGTTCAAAACCAGCCTGAGCAAGAGCAAGACCCTGTCTCTACTATAAATAGAAAGAAATTAATTGGCCAACTAATATATATAGAAAAAATTAGCCGGGCATGGTGGCACATGCCTGTAGTCCCAGCTACTCGGGAGGCTGAGGCAGGAGGATTGCTTAAGCCCAGGAGTTTGAGGTTGCTGTGAGCTAGGCTGACGCCATAGCACTCTAGCCCAGGCAACAGAGAGAGACTCTGTCAAGAAAAAAAAAAGAAAACAATTTCATTTACCTGCCTTAGAAAAAGTTATATAATGATAAAAGATAAAATTATTTAAATATTAAAATAAAAATTTTAAATTAAAAAGAAAACAATTTCATGAGGTACCTGCATATAAGGCAGAGAGAGAAATTCAAAACTTCCAAACAAGTTCAAGACAAGTGAATATTTACGCAGTACCATATATTTACTCATTTACTATATGATTCATACTCACCCATGCCTAATCTAAAATATAAACAATACTACGAGGTCAGAATTTTTAACATTTTGCTCACTACTGTATCCCAAACAACTAAAACAATGCTTTCTATGTATTTGGCATTTGATATTTCCTCAATAAATAATTTTTTTTCCTTTTTTTGATGAGACAGGGTCTTGCTCTGTCGCCTGGGTTGCTAGAATGCAATGGCGTAATCATAGCTCACTGCAATCTCAAGCTCCTGGGCTCAAGTGAATCTTCTGCCTCAGTCTCCCAAAGTGCTGGGACTATCGAGACGCACAACCACACCTGACTAATTTTTCCATTTTTCTGTAGCGAGGGAGGCTCACTTTTCCTCAGGCTGGTCTCAAACTCCTGGTCTAAAGCAATCCTCCCACCTTGGCCTCCCAAAGTGCTAGGATTACAGGTATGAGCCACTGAGCCCAGCAATAAATAAAAATTCCAGAATTTTACATAGGGATCACTATATTTAAGAAATTTGCAACAATATAGTATCTCAAAATCACCACTAAAGTCACAATGTGGGGAGATTTTAACATTATATAGATTACAATTTCCATGGGTTATTGTCAGTAAAAATAATTCTATTCTTACAAAGCAAAATAAGTCTTATTAATGTAGTTCTCAAATATCAACAGAAAACTTAAGAATCAGCTGATTCCTAATTCATAAAAATTCCCATTATACCACCTAGATCCAGAGATCTTTTGATTTCACATGGATAATCTCTGTTAAACAACTTTTAAAGCATATGGACAAGAAAGTATAAAGACTATTTCATTACATTTAATATTTAATCACCTGGTGCTCTACCTCCTGAAGTAAGGATTCCAATAGCTCTGTTTCTTGAGTTAGAGATGTCTTCTGACCTGTTCAAAAATAGCAAAACGTCAACACTTGGGCTCATTACCGGTTTAAGAATGAAGTTAATCTCCATTGAACATATTCCATAACAAAGAATCCATTTTAAGCATAAATTTGTCATTACAGATACCCTAAAAATTTTCCTAGAGCTTTAAGAGGCTGAATCTAATATTATAGTAGCTTTGAAAAGAGAACTTCAGAACCAAACCTAACTAGTTTTGGACAAAATGCAATCTACAGCTATCAAACAAATCTAAGAAATGTATAATACAATGACAGTATACTTTAAGTAAAAAATTTACTTTTCTAGATCATTACACTTCTTTTAGAAGAAGCAATAACATGAATTTCAGTCAATGATTCTGAAATAATTTTCTCCCACATTTAACTGTGGCTTAAAAGAGAGATGTATATAATAAGTAGGCCATATGTTATGTTTAAGTGAAATGTAAGCAAAAGGTATGTCTTTTGAACACCGAAGGACTTGAAAAAAAGAAAGCCCAGAGAGGTAAACGGTCTCAAGAAGCTGGAGACAGAAAGAGATGAAGAAATTATTATAGCAATTATTACTATAAAAAAGGAGAAGGAAATTGCTTTCTATGTTTTCAAACCAAAAAGAACATAGGCATGCTTGCCAAATCAGACCATTTTCTTTGTAAACCATAAAATTGAAAACCTATAGGCATATCTCATGAGGTTAGCAGAAATTATATGAATTTGGAATACTGTTATTTGATGAAAAGACATTTAATAGGTAGAATTTTTTTTTATTTTTTTGAGACAGAGTCTCACTTTGTTGTCCAGGGTAGAGTGAGTGCCATGGCGTCAGCCTAGCTCACAGCAACCTCAAACTCCTGGGCTTAAGCAATCCTCCTGCCTCAGCCTCCCAAGTAGCTGGGACTACAGGCATGTACCACCATGCCCGGCTACTTTTTTCTATATATATTAGTTAGCCAAATTAATTTCTTTCTATTTATAGTAGACACGGGGTTTTGCTCTTGCTCAGGCTGGTTTCGAACTCCTGACCTCAAGCAACCCTCCCGCCTCAGCCTCCCAGAGTACTAGGATTACAGGCGTGAGCCACCTCGCCCGAATTTTATTTTTGAGGCCAAATTAGAAGCTCTTGATTGTAAAAAGACACACGGGAGTCAAAATAAATAATTAGCTTGGATCTACTATTATCAGAGGTAATTTCTACCACCACCACATCCCACAGTCCTAAAACACTAGCCATACATAATTCAATTTAAAAATTAGTGGTAGGCCTGGTGCAGTGGCTCATGCCTGTAATCCTAGCACTGTGGGAGGCCGAGGCAGGCGGACTGCTCAAGGTCAGGAATTCGAAACCAGCATGAGCAAGAGTGAGACCCTGTCTCTACTATAAATAGAAAGAAACTAATTGGCCAACTAATATATATAGAAAAAATTAGCCAGGCATGGTGGCGCATGCCTGTAGTCCCAGCTACTGAGGAGGCTGAGGCAGGAGGATTGCTTGAGCCCAGGAGTTTGAGGCTGCTGTGAGCTAGGCTGACGCCATGGCACTCACTCTAGCCTGGGCAACAAAGCGAGACTCTGTCTCAAAAAAAAAAAAAAAATTAGTGGTAGAAATTGAGCTGTTAATAAAAGTCTGAAGTTACTCATAATAGCAAGCTTATAATAAGACTATTATTCTAGAGATACCCTAAACCTGAAAGTATCCTATTTAACCATGAAAACTATCTTGGAAATCACAAATTACATTAACTTTTGAAAATGGAAAATAATTTGAAAACCACAAAAGAAGGACAAATTCAGTTATTGGAAAGGGAAGTTATTTCAGTCAGTTATACAGTTAGTAAAATTAAGAGATGTTTACTTTAGTATTATTTGATTTTTAGTTGATTCGATTAAATAAATGAGGCAATGAACCAAATTCATTCAAGGAAAACAGGACCACATGCAAATGTCTCTCGATACTATTTAAGATCACATTAACATTGAAGAAGCCCTCAATTTAAAAATGCCTAACCCATACCAATATTCCAGTACTCTACATGGCTTAATGAACTTAAGGGAATCTCAAAGACCATCTAAAGTTCTCAAAAACTAAGAATGACTGAGATTGAGAGCCTAAGACCAATTATGATTTTCATTTACATAAATGATTTTTTTTTTAAGAGATGGGGTCTCACTTTTGTCGCCCAGGCTGGAGTGCAGTGGCACAATCATAGGTTACTGCGGCCTCAAACTCCTGCATTCGAACGATCCTCCCAACTCAACCTCTTGAGTAGCTAGGACTACATATGCATGTCACCATGCCTGGCTAATTTTTTAAAATTTTTTGTAGAGATAGGATCTCACTGTCTTTCCCATGCTGGTCACAAACTCATGGCCTCAGGTGATCCTCCTGCCTTGGCCTCCCAAAGTGTCGGGATTAAAGGCATGAGCCACCACATCCAACACCTGGTCTACATGGAATCTTAAAGTGGCATTGTGACTAGTATAATCAATGCCCACAGGTTTCTTCTAATTGCTCCACTGTGTGGATGAACTGTGCTGTTCAATCTTAAAGAATGATTTTTAAGATCACTTGCTGTTGGATTTGGAAAAAAACTAAAAATGGGATAATATAGAGTTATAACGTAAAAACAATTCATAAAATAGTATCAGAATATCCAATCTCAAACATATTTGCAACTTATTTAAAACAAGTTAAAAATAAAATGGACAAAATAGTATTTTTTTTTTTTTTTTTTTTTGAGACAGAGTCTCACTTTGTTGTCCAGGCTAGAGTGAGTGCCGTGGCGTCAGCCTAGCTCACAGCAACCTCAAACTCCTGGGCTCAAGCGATCCTCCTGCCTCAGCCTCCCAAGTAGCTGGGACTACAGGCATGCGCCACCATGCCCGGCTAATTTTTTATATATATATCAGTTGGCCAATTAATTTCTTTCTATTTATAGTAGAGACTGGTAGCAGTGATGGGAATTGTTAGAATAGCCCTGGCATATGGAAACGTGGTTTGGGAAGAGAAAGGATCAAAAGACGGGGAAGGAAGAACCCTTGATTCCTAGGTGGCCAAGTGGTCACTCATGGTATGAAGCTGCAGCTGTGTTACATGCACTCAGTTACTAATTTATAGGTAGATCCAATTCCCAGGGAGTTGGTTCACTAGATGCATAAGGAAATGCAAACTAATAAGAAAAAAGCAAAATATTCAATCCCTTGGTTGTTATATGTGACAGCTAAAATGAAATTAAAACAGAATGCTGGGGCCGGGCGCTGTGGCTCACGCCTGTAATCCTAGCTCTTGGGAGGCCGAGGCGGGCGGATTGCTCAAGGTCAGGAGTTCAAAACCAGCCTGAGCAAGAGCGAGACCCCGTCTCTACTATAAATAGAAAGAAATTAATTGGACAACTGATATATATATAAAAAATTAGCCGGGCATGGTGGCGCATGCCTGTAGTCCCAGCTACCCGGGAGGCTGAGGAGAAGGATCACTCAGCCCAGGAGTTGAGTTGCTGTGAGCTAGGCTGACGCCACGGCACTCACTCTAGCCTGGGCAACAAAGTGAGACTGTGTCTCAAAAAAAAAAAAAAAAAAAAAAAAAAAAAAAAACAGAATGCTGGGTCAGACCTTGATACTAGATCAACCTCAGATTTTATTGAGTCTGAGCTTTGGTCACTAGCCTCAAAGCTGACCTATAAGGGAAAAATAATGCAGGGATAATAGAAAGTACTTCTAAGGCCTGTGATTACCAAGAAGGTGGTCAATATACAGGAAGGCAAAAACCAAGTAACTACTGAGACTAGAGTGTGAAGGAACATTTTATAGGTCAGTATCATCAGCTTCCTGAGGAACCTTTACTACCAAAATGGATTGTGAGAATAACTAATTTAGGGCCAGTAACTTTGGTTTTAAATGCTACAGATTGCATACAGGATCCATAGCTCACTATGGAACAATCATGTATGGCTACATCCAGGAGGTTATTCCCGAGGGAACACACAGTCTGGTGGACCTGATAAAAGCCACAGTAAAGGCTGTTTACCCTGAGAAGGGGGACTGTCCAACTCCCCTTATAAATGCCAGCAGAGCACCCAAGATGAAACACCTAACATGCTTTGTATGCAAGCCATGTGGGACTAGCTTTATGACAACCAGCACATTCATCTGCTGAATAAACCCATTACCCAGATCACGGTAAACTGCTGTTGTTATGGGTGAACCTTTTGCAAGGGCACCTCATATAATTTTACTGCTGCAAAATTGAAAGTTCAGGAAGTCTTATCAAATTTGCTATCTAAGCCCTCCTTAATGAGTCCTAAAGAAATAAAAACCTAATAATCTACTATCAGGTAACCTAAAGTAATAAAAACCTAATAAAAATATAAGGTTACTTAACAAGAGAATAGAGAAAGACAAAAGGGAAAGTCAAAGGACTCATTCCAGGAAAGGGAAATTTTTTAAACAGTTATTAAGAAATAAAGTGAATAAACCAAGCATTGAGGCCAGGCATAGTGGCACACGCCTGTAATCCTAGCACTCTGGGAGGTCGAGGTGGGAGGATCGTTTGAGCTCAGGAGTTCGAGACAAGCCTGAGTGAGGAAGAGTGAGATCCCATCTCTACTAAAAATAGAAATTAACTGGACAGATAAAAATATATAGAAAAACTGGCCGGGCATGGTGGTGCATGCCTGTAGTCCCAGCTACTTGGGAGGCTGAGGCAGGAGGATCCCATGAGGCCAGGAGTTTGATGTTGCTGCGAGCTAGGCTGACGCCACAGCACTCTAGCCTGGGCAACAGAGCCAGACACTGTCTCAAAAATAAAGAAAGCAAGCATTGATAGGAAAGAAAGTAAGAAGAAAAAGGAATCATGAAACTCCATCTAGCAGAGTATAAGTCTTTAGATGGTTCTTAAGAAATAAGGTAAGGGGCCAGGCGTGGTGGCTCTCGCCTGTAATCCTAGCACTCTGGGAGGCCGAGGCAGGAGGATCGCTCAAGGTCAGGAGTTCGAGACCAGCCTGAG